AGCTACTGTTAGACTCTCAAGATATTTATGAGGTCCCCATAGTTGATTAGATTTAGTGAAGCAATATAAAAAGCATTTTTAGGTCACTGCCAATCAGTCAGTTTTTGGCTATGTTACTGATTTATCCCATGCACCACCTCCTCAATTTTCTCATCATGACATACCTTTTAGATTCTGACTCTTTGCTTAGATAATTTAGCAGCATTCTAGGATATACTACTATTCTTAAAGGTTTCTGCCTCCTAAATTCTAGTGAAACCTATCTCAACTCCACATCAGTCACAGATCTCCACTGTTGATGGGCAATCTATTTATTCTTTTTTTATTGACTCCTGTAGTCTTCTTCATGATATGCTTTCAAATTTTTCTACTCTACTTAAGTTCTACTTCTATCATTGTTTTCCTTATTAAATGATGTCGTGCTGTCAAAAAGAACTCATACAGCTCCCTTTCTCTACACTTAAAATATATCTACCTTCTCTCCTTCCAAATAGTCTCCAAAATAATGTGTGCTTTTTTTTCTAAGATTAACTCTTTCTCCTCTGCACTTGATCCAAAATCTTTGATCCTTCTTTTGTCCTGAGGGCTCTTGAATCATCAGTTACCTTTTTCATTGTTCTTTGTGTGTGTGTGTGTGTGTGTGTGTGTGTGTGGTACTTGTTGACTTCCTCACTTTTTAAATTTATTTATTCAATTACAGTGGACATACAATAGTACATTAGTTTCAGGTATCCAACATTTATATACCTTACAAACTGATCACCACTGTAAGTGTAGTACCCATCTGCCACCATATATAGTTATGACAGTATTATTGACTATATTGCTGTATTTTACGTCCCATGACTAATTTTATAACTGGCAGTTTGTACTTCTTAATCCCCTTCACCTTTTCTGCCCATCCTCCAATCCTTCCCACTTTTTCATTTTTAACTCCTCACTTTCTCAACCCCATCTTGGCTTCTGTCCTCCATCAGCAAACATGCCCAGTTCCAACTATACTAAAAAATCTTCCCTACAAATTTATCAGGTCCTTTCGCTATGAAACTCTTCCCAAAAATTATCCTTTTTCTTTGCTTCCTTACTGCTTAATATTTTCTTAAAGGAATGGATTTAATTAAGAGACTATTTTATTCTAGGCATTCTACCAAGCAATTTCATCTGCTTCATTGAATCCTTATAAGAGTCATACAACTGGGAATTCTTTTTTACAGCTTAGGAAACTAAGAATACCTCGAGTAACTTTGCCAAATGGATACAACTGGTAAGTGACAGAACAGGGATTCCAATTTGAATCTGTCACACTTTAAAACTCCTACCCTTGACACCATCTCAAACTGCCTTAACTCTGAACCTTCTGGATTCCAGTTCAACAGTCTAATAAAAATCTTTTCTCAAAAGTTTTTAGTATCACAATTGTTAATTCCAATGACCTTCCCTCAGTTATCATGGGAACATGAATATTTCTTTATCCTGGAAAACTTTTATTTCTTAGGTTGGAACTGCATTTTCATTTCCCCTTCTCTAAATCCTTTCATTTCTCCTTCTCCCCTCTACGCCACACTCAGACGTAGGCATCCTCCAACTTCACTTCTCTGTTCTCTTCTTTGACATTATCTCCTTCATGCACCAAGGTCTTCAGCAATGAGCCCATTTGCACAGCATTCATCAGGTGTGACAGTACTGATTCAACTCCAACGCTCACTCACTGTCCATGGACTAATTAAGTAGCTCTTCAAAACTTACATTTTAATAGAATATTGCATTTTTTTCTTCCCTCCTGGCTTATTTTTGTTGCTTATTTTCTATTTTTAAATTATCATTGAGTTTGTCAGTAAGCACTATATTCTAAGGTACAACCTTGACCACACTCTGCCAGAACAGCTTTGTATAAACTCATCTCTCGGTTCTACTTGACCTCCAAGAATATCCTACATTGGCACTGCCCCCCTTGTCCCACATTGCCTTCTGCTGTCCTCCAACCCCAGTCCCTCCATGTTCTATAAGTAAAAACAAGATATCTACTAAATAATCACACATATGACTCCAATCGACTTGACTTTGGGCTTCACTTCCATATTTTCAATATCACATACAAATTCTACTTTACAGTGTCAAAACCAACATTTCCAGAACTAAACTTTTATTCTTCCTTGCCTCTCTCTCCCTCAAGAAAATTACTCTTTTTTTCTACTCTTAGAAGGACTATCTTGCCACTAACTCAAGGCCAAAACTTCAGACCTCTTTAACTTATTTTCTATATCCTAAAATTCAATAAGTCATTAATTTTAGTCCTGTCTCTGCAATTATTTTTTATTTATTACCTTGGACACCATATCCATAATATCTGTTGTTTATCATTCATCAGATTATCTAACTGGTCTGCCCTCATTTCTTTAAATAACCAATCTATTGCATGAAGTTCTGCCAAATTAATTTTCATAAACCTCAATTGATTACTCACTCTTGTTACTCATATTCTTGATCAAACACATCTAAAAGATGCCTGTTGACTAGGGGACACATTTCCAATTCCCTAGCTCAGCATCCCCAGGTCTTTCATGATCTGAGTGGCCCTACCTCTCCAATGGATCTAACATGGGCAAAATACACTTAACCACCTTTTCCAAGAAGCCTAACCGAAGCTTCACCAGAAGTGCTCCCTACATTCCCTAAACGTGAACATATTTTACCTCTAATGCTGCCATGGGGCTTGTCCATTCTAATTTCAACATTAGATATACCAGTTTGTCCTCTTTCTCTTAGTGGACTAAAGGAGGGGTTTTTGTTTCACTCACATACAATGTTGTGGAAATCTATGAAACTCTGAGTCAGCATATCTAAGTTCACATTCTAATTTTACCAATTACCATTTTTGTGATAACAGTCAAGTTCAAAATATATGGCTTCTTTGATATTTTATTTGTTAAATATGGGTTAAATGCACTTCTGGCATGATGTTTCACAGATACTGTGTGAGCAATAAATGGTTGGTGAATAAATATTCAAGATAAGAGAGTTTCCATCAGTCTCAGGCTGGCCAGAATTTCACAAGAAGTTTTTTCCAAAGATAACAGAAAGGTTTTGAGAGCATCAATCTTTAATCCAACCAAACTCTCCACCTTTCAGAAATTCTAATTTAGAAATGCCTCAGAATTGGAAGTACAGCTTTGCATTTTAGAATCTTTCATAGCATCTGGCACGCAAAAAAGAATATAATTCCCACACTATACTTCCCTGAGAATTTATTCCTGATTCTTATTATATGCCACATGGACATACAGATCTTTTAAGGAAATTCCAGGGACAAGATTTGTCTTCCAAATTTAATCAGTCTGTGTCCCAACAGGAAACCTATGCAAATACAAACTGAATAGTTCAAAACAGGTATAAAGAAAGGATTATCTATAAAGATATGGAAACACAGGGAAAGTGGAATAACTTGGGAGCAGTTCACATCTTTAGGGTAAGATTAACCTGGAAGGAGGAGTCAATATAATGGGTAACCAAAGGAAGGACACTAACCTTCTTTGGGGCGGTTACTGCCAGCATGAGGAAACCTCCAGCAAGAGACTCGAGGTCATAAATATTCTACTTTCTCCAGCTTCTGTCAGAGCTCCCCATTGGCAAACTGTATCAAAAACCAGAAACCAAGAGATTCCATTCATTCAATACACGCACATCAGCCCCAAGGCCAGTAGCAGGTGTGGCAAAGAAATGAAGAGGGATTCGGAAGGGAAAGCAGTAGACAATGCACACATGTACATTCACCTGAATGTGTTTCCTAACATTTTTCAGGGCTTTTGTTTTAGAATATCTGGGATTAAGTATACTTCATTCATTTGTTCATTTAGAAATGTCATTAGTTCAAATAAGTGATAGTTTGTGGCACTTTGTAAAAGATGTGTTTATAAGGATTTCAACTAATTTTTCTGGGTATTTTAGTCAATTTCCACTCACCTAAAAAGAACCTCATGTAGGTTGTAAATGCAACAACCTTTCTAAATATTAGTGATAGATACAATGCTGACCACCCTGTTCTCTCTCTAGTTGCTTTTTAGCCTTATTGTAGACTATGTAAACTACCCTACTTTGCAAGCCCCATATTCATGCTCCAAACTCATATGAATGAAAAAAAGAATTTATGGTGTAAACAAGATGTACTAATTAAATAGTTTTGTTTTTTCATTCTCTAGAAATGTGATCTGTGACCCTAAAAGCATGCAACTGCAGGCTTCATTTCAGAAAGTAATAGAATGAGAATTTAAAATATTTAAAATTCTATGAATATTATTCTTTTTTTAGCAACGATACCCGAAGAGTATCCTAATGTTTCTTAATGAGTATTTCCAACATTTACTTCAGTACTTGTTTTTATACCTCATTCTTTTATAAATAATCTTTAATCCAACAGCTCCAGTTATTCTGGATGTATAAAAGTAATAATAAAAAAATCAGGGATCTTTTGCCAAACTATTACCATAGCATAGAATGCCTAAAGTTCAAGAAGAGTCTGTGGTATCTGTCTGGAATTAAATTAGTCATGTCTAGTCATAGTAATCAAACATCAAACTGATCTCTGCAGAATTCCTAGAAATTCTTGCACAGTGTCATAATCTCTAATTATGACAGTCCCTCTAATAGTCCCTTCCTGTTTTCTAAGGGACTGCAATACAACATCCTCCCTTATGTTACTGCAAATTTATTTAACACTCTTTCAAAATTATTTTGCAAGACATTTTCACTGATGTGTTACTGTTTCCATTTTTCCTCATCATTGGATTCCTCCTCTTTAATTAATTTTCAAAGAATAATTTTTATAGATGCATGCATTGAAGAAAAGGATCTCATCTTGTTTACTTTGGTGATTCCATTACAGAATCTGGAACATAATGTGTGTTTATTAGATATTTGTTTGATAGATAGATGAATGATTAAATGGATGGATACATGGAAGGAAAAAATAAACTCTATTGCAGTTTCCTTTAAACACAGATACTGTGCTTGCTTCAGTAGCACATATACTAAAATGAAAATGATACAGAGAAGATAAGCATGTCCCCTGCATGAGGATGACATGCAATATCATGAAGCATTCTATAAAATGAAGCAAAAATATATAAATAGATATATTTTTGAAGCAAAAAATATCGTGAAGCAAAAATATATATATATAGATACCTTCTGCACAAAATATTTTAATTTTTAAAGCATCAAGAGGTGAATGTCAATCTGAAAATGCAGACAAAAAGATGTTCTAAGGTTTAAAACAAGTATCTGGGATTCAATAAACAAATAAGTTCAAAAATGTTATATATGCCCCCACTGGAAGAGTCTTGTATACATTAACATAATAAAGGCTCTGGGGTAGTTTGCCTCTATAAAAATATTTAGTTGAGAATTACCTGGAATCATCCTTAGTTCCTCCATTTATTTGTCAGGTCTCTGAGTTTGACCTCCAAAGAAATATCTTCCCACTTCCCTCTATTACAGTTGCTATCATCCTAATTCATGGCACCATCTAATTCATATCCTTTCTTGCAGAATAGTGTAACATTCTCCTAACTGGTATCTCTGCTTCCACTTTTAGTCTCTTAAAAGCCAAATGAGCTTTTAAAAATAGAAATTGATCCCCTGCTTATTCCTAAGACTTACCAGTAAGTTTAATTCTCTTAAAGTTCAGTCTTTATGTATTGGCCTACTAGGCCATAGGACCTCTGGCCCAGCCTCCCTCTCAGACCTTATCAACCACCACTCTCCTCCTTGCTGAATACTTTTTTGTCTACTAAGCTCCCTTCTCTACCTTTTCCATGCCAAACCTCTTCTTACACAAAGACCTTTGTATTTGGTTTCCTCTGCCTTAAAATCTCTGTCCTTTAGCTCTTCTCATCATTAGCTCCTCTTTATCCTTCAAGACTCAGCTCAAATACCATCTTTCTGAGACCCCTCTCAAGAACTGGCTCTTTCCAATTACTTTTCACCACATTGGCACATTTATTCTGTTCATAGCACTCATTGCCATTTGATTTTTAAAGTTCTGATTGCCTGCTCCAGAATGCAAACCTATACGTCAGCAACTTTGTTTATCTCATTTACAAGAATATCCTTAGAGCCTAAACAATGCCTGACACATGGTAAGAAATAAATATTTGCTGAACAAATATGTTTATTCATAGGACTTTCTTTCCAATAAAACTTATTAACATTCCACAGAACACATTTTGGGAAAATCTAGTGTAGGCTGAAAACTTACCATTTTTCATAAAAGGCATATTGTCAGGGAGTTAAGAATTTCTATTCCTATATAATAAGATTTATAAATCTGACATAAAAATACCACATGTGCTCAAAAATCCATTACAAAGTATACATCAAGGCTATGGGGTAAAGATTATTTATCTAACAAAGTTATATAACAAAGTTAATATATTTTTATTAACCATTATATGTTCTAATTCCTACAAAGAATTCTTTTTTTTTTCCAGGTATTTCCTTAGAACTGATTCCATCCTTGTCTTAAATTCATGTTCAAGGCTTCTGAGAGCCCTTAAACGGTTGGAGAGAGTTCCACAATTTGTTTGGTTTTTTTGGTGGGGGAGTTGGTTTTGGTTTTTGACTAAGAAATTGATTGTAACCTTCATAGCACTTTATCTCTTTGTTTATACATTGGGAACCTGAAGTGAGGCCCTGAGAATTTGAGTGCTGTTTTCAACATCATGCAACTTTAATTAATACTATAGCCCTAGTCGAGAGTTATTTTCACATTTTATTCTATTGTCCCTATCATTCCAATATTCGAAGCAGAGCTTGGAGTATAAATGAAGGGATGGACCCCAAGGATAAGCTTGAGCCATCCCTAATTTCAAGGAGGATGTGCAGGAAGACCCCATCCCATTTCCTTTGCTTATTCAGCTGTTCACCTGGACAGAAATGGGAGGAGATGCTCATTTTATTTCTCCCTCCCCCTTCTAATAATTGGGCAACTCTTCCTAACCAAGAAAGTCTTAACAGTTCTATTCTCATTTATATTGTCAAGCTGCTTACAAGTGGATGGTATCAACAAAGAAAATAATATACAACTTCTTAATAAATCAAGTTAACACTCAAGATCATATCTTTTGGAAGGTCTTTTAACATTGTCTTCATGCGACTGATGAGTGACAAAATTACACAAGCCTTGAGTGAGAAGCTCTAAAACAGAAATAAATCTTATCCTTCTTCTGCTAATACACACACAGTTTGACACAAGGAGTTAAGTCAACCGGAAGAGAGCAATCCTAGTGTTACCGAACAAGAGGAGGTCCGAGGGAGGGGCAATACAATATTTGGCCCACCTAGGGATGCCCAAAACTGCTATACAACAGGGGCCCCTCCCGAAAACAAAATACTAAAATCTACTGGGCCCTTCTGTCCGCCGCCAATTGGAAAGACATCTCTTAATGCCAGAGATTTGTGAAAAGTAAACAAAATGTTTATTTAATGCTATTCAGGCCTAATGCCACCACTAAAATATCAAAGTCCTTTATGTATACACCTACACCCACACAGCGCTCCCTTCTCCCACTGTCCCAACTCCGGGTACCGTAAATCAAGAAAAGAGCACACGTCTGTGTTGCAGGCCGCTGGCACCGTCAGCTGTGTCACTGTGCAGGATCTCGAGTTAATCCAAAGTACTGTGGTACCCTCTCATGGTCCACTGGCAAGAGTCCTTTGTACCCAGTTCCAGTCAAAGTCTCTGTTGCTTTTTCAGGCCCCGCGGCCAAAGGGGGCACCCCAAAGCCGCGTGGGCCTCTTCTACCAAAGCTGCAAGAGTCCGCACTCCACCAAAAGCATGTGGCTTTCTTCTTCACCTGGCTGCAGGGATCTCCATTCTGGCAAAGCTTCGTGGTTTTTCCCTTTCACCTGGGAAAAGGGGGTCTGCACCCTGCCAAAACCACGTGGCTCCCTCTTTCACCTCACCAAGAGGGGGTCCTTACTCTGCTGAAACCGCGTGGCTCTCTCTCTCTCATCTGGCCAAGCGGGGACCCTTCGTGTCCTGGAGCCAGTCTTTTCCAAGCTCTCATCTAGGCGCTCTCACTCAGGAGCGCAGCCCCTTGTTACATTCTGAGTCCAAGCCCTTCTCACTCCGGAGAGCAGACCTTAGTTCCCATCCTGAGTCCTCGCTAGTTCCATCCTCAGACCCTGGCTCCAAACTTGGCCACTGCTATTTAACATATCTATGAAACCAGTTAAAGGTTATAGATATGTTAAATAACCATTCCTCCAGAAGTTAGCTCCAAAACTGTTGCTATGCAAAATAGCTCTCAATGGCCTGGCTCCATTCATCCCTTCCCCCTGGGGGGGGGGCGGTGAGGACATCTTACATGTCTCTCCAATATTTCTATACACTTTGAATTCTGGACACCTTTCCAAATCTTTTTTGGGGGCCCCCCTGGCTGCACCCTGTATCACTAGTAGAAACATGGGCAAAGTACACAAACAGATAATTTACAGAACATAAAATTGAAAAACACTCCAAAAAACATATGGAATAATCAAAGAAATGCAAACTGAAATAGCCATTATTTTTATGTTACATGTATTTTAAAACGCAAAAATTAGAAGCTGTTTTAAGTCAATTATGGTGAAGATGTGTATTTCTGTGTACGTGTGTGTGTGTGTGTGTGTGTGTGTGTAGGAATTCTCATACATTGCTGGCGGGAAATTAGACAAAAGATGCTGCTGCTCTTGCAACCTGGCACTATTTACTTAAATTAAGTGCATGCATACCCTACGACTCAGCAATTGTTCCTGGAGGTATTATCTTCCAAAATTCTCACACTTGTCTGTAAGGAAACATGTACAAGGACACTCACAGCAGTGTGGTTTGTGGTGGTGGGAAGTTAATAGTAATGTGGAAGTCCAGCATTGATTAATTAAAGGGCAAAGGTGGCAGATGCAGACCAAGGAGGACCATGCGCAGCTGGAAGTAGTGCTCACAGAGCGATATGGGTGCATCTTAAAAACACACTGCTAGATTAACAAAGAAGAAGGCAAGGTGCCACTCATATCACAGTAACCAATGCAGAATTTAAAAGTAGATTCTCACCTGAGGACTGGTTGCAAGAAGGTGAAGGGATTAGCCAAAGAACATATACCCATGACCCATGGACATGGACCATGTTGTGGAAATTGCCTGAGGGAGTGAGGGTACTGGGTGGAGGAGGATAAAGGGGAAAAATTGGGACAACTGTAATAGCATAAAAAACAAAATATAACTTAAATTTTAAGAAGTAAAATAAAAAATGAGACTCAACCACCAACTTACACCATACACAAAAATAAATTCAAGGTGGATAAAAGATTTAAATACAAGTCTTGACACCATTAAAGTCCTAGAGGAGAACATAGGCAGGAAAATCTCAGATACTCCACTCAGCAATATTTTCATTGGTATGTCCCCTAAAGCAAGGGACATAAAGGAAAGAATAAGCAAATGGGATCTCATCCAAATAAAAAGCTTCTGCCCAGCTAAAGAAAACAGCATTCAAATAAAAAGAGAACCAACTGTATGGGGAAACATATTTGCCAATGATACCTCAGACAAGGGTTTGAGATCCAAAATATATAAAGAATTTACCCAACTTCACTCTAAGAAGACAAGCAACCCAATTAAAAAATGGGCAAAGTACTTGAACAAACACTTCTCCAAGGAGAACATGCAGATGGTCCGGAGACATATGAAAAGATGCTCAGCATCACTAGCCATCAGAAAGATGCAAATTAAAACCACAATGAGGTACCATTCACACCAGTCAGAATGGCCATCATAAACAAAGCAACAAACAACAAATGTTGGAAAGGGTGTGGAGAAAAGGGGACCCTAGCTCATGGTTGGTGGGATTGCAGACTGGTACGACCACTATGGAAAACTATGGAATTTCTTCAGAAAACTAAAAATGGAAATACCTTTTGACCCAGCAATTCCACTGTTAGGAGTATATCCTAAGAACCTTGAAACACCAATCCAAAAGAACTTATGCACCCCAATGTTCATAGAAGCACAATTTACAATAGCCAAGTGCTAGAAGCAACCTAAGGGCCCATCATTAAATAAATGGATCAAAA